AGATCTTCGGTTTCTTCGAACGACGATCATTTCTTTTGACGGAGGATTCAGATCAGATCAGAGTTGATAAACGACAAAAACACGACAGAAACAAAAGATTCTGCAGATTCAGGGAGTCCAAATCCAGAGCAGGTAATGACGGCGCTAAGCATAGGTGAGCTGGTTGCTGAGGTGTGAGGAAGTTTGGAGAAATGAAACAGGCAGAATAAAATAACCAAATGAAAAGCATTCATTCTTCTGGGATCTTCTCTGTGTTGCTTTTCACTTCCACACAAAGCTATAGAACAGGTAAATCCTCACATATGAAGGTTACAAACATGCAAATCTCCCCAAACCCAGACAAGATTAGGATTAGATGATGTCCAGAAGGACGTAATCTCTGGTCACCACTGCTGGTGGTGCATGTGAGAAATACATAGGAGTTACTGGTTTTTCTTTATCTGCTCTGTCGTCGCTTTTCTCTTCTTTTATTTGCTCAAACATATTTTTCCTCTCTTATCTCTTCCTGTGAGACATCTGGGCCAGGTCATGAAACAGGTTTTACCCGGTAAAATAAAAAATTAACCAGATTATTTATAGTTCAGTTGTTCCAGCAGCCCCGCCCACACCTGTAGAATTATGATGTCACCGCAATCAGACCTGGGAGTGGGATAAAAGATCTCAAAAAACAACACAGCCTCCCCAGTTTAAGGTCAAAGGTCATGGTCTGACAATCACAAAGAGAAGTTCAGATCAGAGTCACACAAAGGCTCATCTCACTTTGGTCCAAAATCATCTCGATGATCCTCAAGTTTCATCCAAAAACCTGTGGAGCACTGACGACGGTGAGACAGGCACTGACACAGCGATGAGACAGGCACTGACAGCGGTGAGACGGGCACTGGCAGCAGTGAGACAGGTACTGACAGGCAGCGGTGAGACAGGCACTGACGGCGGTGACAGGCACTGACAGACAGCAGTGAGACAGGCACTGACAGCGGTGAGACGGGCACTGACAGGCAGCGGTGAGACAGGCACTGACAGCGGTGAGACGGGCACTGACAGTGGTGAGACGGGCACTGACAGCAGTGAGACAGGTACTGACAGGCTGCAGTGAGACAGGCACTGACGGCGGTGACAGGCACTGACAGACAGCAGTGAGACAGGCACTGACAGCGGTGAGACGGGCACTGACAGCGGTGAGACAGGCACTGACACAGCGATGAGACAGGCACTGACAGCGGTGAGACGGGCACTGGCAGCAGTGAGACAGGTACTGACAGGCAGCGGTGAGACAGGCACTGACGGCGGTGACAGGCACTAACAGACAGCAGTGAGACAGGCACTGACAGCGGTGAGACGGGCACTGACAGCGGTGAGACGGGCACTGACAGGCAGCGGTGAGACAGGCACTGACAGCGGTGAGACGGGCACTGACAGTGGTGAGACGGGCACTGACAGCAGTGAGACGGGCACTGACAGCAGTGAGACAGGTACTGACAGGCTGCAGTGAGACAGGCACTGGCAGCGGTGAGTCAGGCACTGGCAGCGGTGAGACAGGCACTGACAGCGGTGAGACGGGCACTGACAGTGGTGAGACGGGCACTGACAGCAGTGAGACAGGTACTGACAGGCTGCGGTGAGACAGGCACTGGCAGCGGTGAGACAGGCACTGACAGCGGTGAGACGGGCACTGACAGCAGTGAGACAGATACTGACAGGCAGCGGTGAGACAGGCACTGACAGCGATGAGACAGGCACTGACAGTGGTGAGACAGGCACTGGCAGCGGTGAGACAGGCACTGACAGGGGTGAGACAGGCACGGACAGTGGTGAGACAGGCACTGGCAGCGATGAGACAGGCACTGACAGTGGTGAGACAGGCACTGGCAGCGGTGAGACAGGCACTGACAGGGGTGAGACAGGCACGGACAGTGGTGAGACAGGCACTGGCAGCGGTGAGACAGGCACTGACAGCGGTGAGACGGGCACTGACAGCAGTGAGACAGATACTGACAGGCAGCGGTGAGACAGGCACTGACAGCGATGAGACAGGCACTGACAGTGGTGAGACAGGCACTGGCAGTGGTGAGACAGGCACTGACAGGGGTGAGACAGGCACGGACAGTGGTGAGACAGGCACTGGCAGCGATGAGACAGGCACTGACAGTGGTGAGACAGGCACTGGCAGCGGTGAGACAGGCACTGACAGGGGTGAGACAGGCACTGACAGTGGTGAGACAGGCACTGGCAGCGATGAGACAGGCACTGACAGTGGTGAGACAGGCACTGGCAGCGGTGAGACAGGCACTGACAGGGGTGAGACAGGCACGGACAGTGGTGAGACAGGCACTGGCAGCGGTGAGACAGGCACTGACAGGGGTGAGACGGGCACTCAATTATTATGGTCCGAGGGCCACACACAAAAAAGTCCGCGTGGCAGCAGATTCAGCCACACCATAAAACAGCAATAAGATAGATAGATAGATAGATAGATAGATAGATAGATAGATAGATAGATAGATAGATAGATAGATAGATAGATAGATAGATAGATAGATAGATAGATAGATAGATAGATAGATAGATAGATAGATAGATAGATAGATAGATAGATAGATAGACAGACAGACAGACAGATATCCATGCCTTGATGTGGGGGCTGGGGGGTACGCGGCTAAATAAGTTTGGGAACCGCTGCTTTAGACAGTACAGGCCAAACGTTTGGACACACCTTCTCATTCAGGTGACTTCCTATTGGAGCTCATCGAGAGAACACCAAGAGTGCAAAGCAGTAATCAGAGAAAGGGTGGCGATGTAGAAGAGAATAGAATCAAAAACACGTTTTCAGTTATTTCACCTTTTTGGGTTAAGTACATAACTCCTCATGTATTCATTCATAGTTTTGATGTCTTCAGTGAGAACCACCAATGTAAATGATCATGAACATAAAGTTATAACACATTGAATGAGAAGGTGTGTCCAAACTTTTGGCCTGTAAACAAACAAACTAACTAACAAACAAATAAATAAATAAAGGTCACAGCAGGAAGATAAATCTGAAGTTTTAATAAAAGTTGGGATTAGCTGGACACACACACACACACACACACACACACACACACACACAGATTCCAGCTCCCCAGTGGGTGGCTGCTGGATGGTTTTACTGTCCTGACAGTAATCCTCTGCTGGGTCGTGGGCCTCCACCAGTCAGTCAGCCGCTCGGCCAACTGGAACAAAGATGTGAAATCTCTGCAGACCTGAAGAAGTGGGTCAGTCAGCCAAACAGAACCAGACGTTCTACCAACACATCATCAGTGTTTCTGATGATGTGTGGCTCATTCACTTCTGCTTCTATTTATTAAAAAACTAATAAAGATAACCATTGTAGTGGTAACTGTTGGCGTTTACGGACACCTCTGATAGCAGAAATGTAAAAGTTTTATGGTTTGCTTCAAAAGGTTCTGCTGGTTCTGACTGATGTGAGAAAAGTGCAGAGAAGCAGAACTTTTCTCTCCAGAGCTTCATGAACATAAACTTGTGTTTAAATGATGTAAAATACACATTTTACAAGCTCAGAAACTCATTTTGGTTGGGAGGAGAAACAAAACTTTGTTCTGATCAAGTTTAAATCGGGTTCTTGGTTTCAAACAACAAAAACCTGCTCTTGGGCATCAGAGATGAGTCCAGATGATTGGAAGCTCGACTCTCGTTACCGTGGCAATGGAGTCCAGTGCATTACCATTTCTGTCCCCATCTTTGTTTCCACGGTTACAGTCAGCCAGGGGTGGACAGGAATAATAAAGGCTCAGGGGCACATGAGGGGGAAGAGTTCAGCAGTTTCTGAACTTCTAGGAAGGCGGATGAAATCAGATGGTTCAGACTTTTGAGTCTTTTAGTCTCACGAGATTGTTAAATTAAACAGGATGCCAGGATTCTCATCTTCTTTTACTTTTGACACCTAAAAAAGTGGATTTTATGTCATTTAGTATGAACCTTTAACCAAAACTTAACCGTAGCTGCTGTGATGGACTGGCTTGTGAACAGCAAGAAGAGGATTAAATAATCTGACAGAAGACAGCACATTACGCCCACTCTTTAATCACTCCACTGGTTGCCCGTCCACTTCAGGACCAATTTCAAAATTCTGCTTCTTGCACATAAATCTTTGAACAGTCAGGCACCTCCCCATCTGTGTGAACTCCTCCATTACTACCACCCTCCTCGTGCTCTTAGGTCTGAAGATCAGCTCCTCCTAACTGTCCCTACGGCACGTTTGAAAACCCACGACTTCTCCCTGGCCTTCAACTCCCAAACCAAAAAGCATGAACTCATCCTTAGTTTTCCACCTTGTTTGTTCGATTTTAAATTTGTTTTTATATTCTGGTTTTACTTGTTCTGTTGGTTTTAGTTTGTTCTTTTAACTCTTTTATATTTTTTACTTCATATGATTTACACGACTATCTTAGCTTGTGTTTTTTATTATTTGTTTTTATGTGCAGCGCTTTGGTCGCTTGTAATGCCGTGTTAAAAGTGCTCTGCAAATAAAGCGGTATGGTAATCTGAGACAAAAGCAGGGAAGATGTATAAAAATCAGCACCGCTGTTGAAGATTATGGGTTAGGTCAGAATAATCGGTGGTCAGAGTTTGTGCTTTATTACTTTATTACCTACAAAAATAAAAACAGAGGAAAGCTTAAAGAGAAGTCCACAGGGATGGGGGGGGGGGGGGGGGGGGGGGGGGGTCAAAACAGAAGAGAGACGAGGGTGAATTCTTCAGTCGCTGGCTGGGAAACGAGAGGATTTTCTACAAAGTTTAAACAAAAGAATGAGTGTGTGTGTGTGTGTGTGTGTGTGTGTGTGTGTGTGTGTGTGGCTATTTCTCTGCTTGTCCTGCAGAAGTCATCTAGTCTGCAGAGAAGATTCATTTTATAAAGGCACAAGAATAAAATCACAATGTTTAAATTAAATTCCTTATTCAGTAAACAAACATGAAGACAAATAAAAACATTTTCATTCTGATGTTTTCACAAAGTTTTCCATTTTTAATCAGCAGCAGGTTTTAAACGACACATTTCATGTGTTCATTCGACCTTTTTAATGACCACAAACTCAACGAGTTTAATATGATAGAACACACATCTCACTCACACTCACAGTGTTTGTTTGTTGGTCCTGTCCTTGTGTGACCTGAAGCACCTTTAGTTGGAACTCGCTCTAATCTGTGAATCCTGCAGGGCTTAAATCTGATTTAGATTATTTTCATTAACCCTGAAACAATCCTGAACATTTCCATGATCACATCACTGCGTTTAACTGTAAAAACCTTTAAAACAAAGAAATGCCGCAGAATCACCAGAAGCTTCGATACCCAAAAACTCACAGAGCTTTTCTTATTTGATGCTCTAAGAATTAAAACACGGTCAAAGTAAAGTGCATCGATTTCTGCAGGAAGAAACAAACGTGCGGCGTGGATATTTTATTCATGTCCTGAGAATGAATCCAACCCCTTTAACAGTAAAAAGTTACATGACAGTTTCCTGCTTTTCCTCCATTTTTCATGTTTTTAGTCTGGATTTTGCTTTTAATGAAGCTAAATCTGAGCCTCAGAGATTATCTGCTCACTTTGTTTGGTTAGGACTCTGAACTATTACAGAACACGACTCTGAGCTTTAATTTAATGTCATAAAGGGAATTTTATTCATAATAATAAATAATAGTAATAATCTTTCAATTAGTAATAAAACTTCTTCAGATTTCTAAGAATTTTTTTGTTTAATTAATTACTTTTTCCCCCCCAGTTTAGATCCCTCAGATATCCGGATTTCAGCTCAGATTAATAAGGACCTGCTTTCCTGAGCTGGGAGGCTGAGCTGTGTTTGGTTCATCACTGTTGGATCCATATGTGGTTCTTAAATTTTTTTTAAATCAGTTAGAAATAAAACATTCTCATATTTTATCACCTAAAACCATCAAATACAACATAATGTCCCTTTAGTGTGATTCTCTTAGAATTAAAGACAAATAAAGACCTCTACGGGTTTCTACCCACCACACATCTGGAGTAGGACTGTTGGTCCAGGTGGAGAACCGCACACACCTGCCTGGTCTTACAGTCCCCATCACAGGTGATGCTGCGGTCGTAGCTCACCATGAAGTGGGTGAAGTATTCCTCAAAGCTCTTGGCCTGAGGCAGCATGAAGCTCAGGCCCAGCTGGAGGAGACTTGGTGGCTTCAGGTCGGTCAGTCCAAAAGCTTCAGTCATGATGTATTCAAGCTTCCAGTCGGACCTTTGTTTCTCGTTGGCTTCCGTCAGGTTCAAGTAGTACTGCCAGATGTCCTTCAGAGGGCGAGGACAGAAAAGAGAAAAAGCTTTAGTCTCAGTTTAAAAGCCACAAACGGGTTTTTGTGAGCGGACTGGCGTCGTGATTAATCATCTAAACACTTCTGTTCTTCAGAAGTCAGAGACGTTTAGGAGCAGATGTTTGATTTTATTTGAAAATGCCTGATCTGTGATGTTTTCTTTAGTTTTTAATGCAAAAAACACAAAGAAACTATAACGATCCCTTGGTTTGCTACTCAAGTCCCAGTCTGTGAAATCTCCAGGTTTCAGCGTGGAACTGCAGAAATGTGCTTTTGCACTTTGAGCTGTTGCTGCTAGATCAGAGCTGGAGTGTTCTGGTTTGGTGGAAACTGGTTATAATCATCAGAATAACACCAAAACGCTGCAGAGCTAAACACGATCATGAGAACTCAGCCTTGGGTCCAGCTGAAAGATGATTTCCTCTGGCGCTTTGCTAATGGATGCTAATAGATGCTAACAGATGTAGCCGTGGGCGATATGGTAAAAAAACATCACGACTGTTTTTGAGGTGAAATCACAACAACTGGTGTTGAACAGCAAAGCAACACTTTCTCTGATAAAACAGCTGTAACTCATACCTAGCTCCCTGATGCTAACATCAAGGACAGCAGTAGCTCAACAGGTTGAGCGAGTAGTCCAGTAATCGGAAGGTTGCAGGTTCGATCCCGGCTCCAGACAGAGAATTCTGCTGTTGTGTCCTTGGGCAAGACACTTAACCCACCTTGCCTGCTGGTGGTGGTCGGAGGGACCGGTGGCGCCTGTGCTCGGCAGCCTCGCCTCTGTCAGTGCACCCCAGGGCAGCTGTGGCTACATCGTAGCTCATCACCATCAGTGTGTGAATGGATGAATGATACACTGTAGTGTAAAGTGCTTTGGAGTCCTTACTCTGAGAGGTGCTATACAAGTGCGGGTCATTTATCATTTATCATTTACTAATGCTAATGTTTAGCTACAGCTGGTAACTATACTAATATTGTTTCTCTCCTAATAAATCAGCTGCATTCTGACTCAGATGAAAGCCTAAAACCTAAAAACGGATCCGAGTTCATCGTGACTCCTCACCGAGACGCTGTAGTCGTTGCTGTTGTACAGGTACGCCCGGAATCCCGGATTGTTGGAATATTCCTCCCGGACGTCTCTGATTGGTGTGACAGCCGGAGACACGAAGAGGGAATTCACAGGTTTACCTGCAACAAACAGGTTGGAGAACGGGTCTAGACTGGGGCTGCACAATATATCGCAAATATATCGTTATCGCGATATCAGCATGCAAAATATGCATATCGCAAAGAAAAGATAAATATCGTACTGAATGGTCAGGTCAAATGTTAGCTACACATAATGCGTTCTGTCAATCAAACGGAAGTATGATTTTTTTTAACAAATCAAATGGAGCTCTTCACCCATTTGGCCAATCGGGTGGGTTCTCATAGGTTAGAGTCCCGCCCCCGAGGCGGACAGCACTTAATTTAGATGGTTAGCAAACACCTCAGTTAGCTTTGTTCTGCTCTTTCTGCTGATTCTGCGTTCCCTGGGATCCACTGATTGCCTTTTCTTGTTCTTTTTCTTTTTCCCTTTCCTCACATCTTTTGTTTTTCTCATTTTTATGAATATTTTTTTGTAATTTTTTTATTTTTGATTATTTTTGTTCCTGAGTAAATTTTTTATTTATCGCAAGTAACATCGTCATCGCATTATTAATCACTATTATCGCATATCGCAGGTTGTCCTAATATCGTGCAGCTCTAGTCTAGACTAAACCAAACAGAGCTGCTGTTAGGACAGGTGTGGTGGGCGTGGCTTGGATACGTTCTTTCAGACAGGTGAGGCAGGATTAATGTTTGAATCTGTCTGAACATTTTTGGTTTTATAACTGGAGGCAAAAGCTGATCAGTGTTTTAATAACCTTCAAGTTTAGCATAATTAACCAACGGTTGTGTGAATGTAACCAGCTGGTTAGGATGTAACCATGGTTCACATCAGGGTATCTGCAGGTTTAAGGGAGCCAAATTTAAGACTTTTTAAGACCTTTTTAAGGCCACTTTGACCAAATTTAAGCAATTTTAAAATTAAATTTAAGCCATAATTTCTAGCTATTGCCTGGAACCGGTGCTAACCACGTCACGAACGTGGGATTAGCCATCCAGTTACCATTAAACTTCCCCATGGCGCAAGCTCTCACTAGCTTAACCAGCTAATGCGCTCATCTAAAAATAGCCCCCTTTCACAACCAACTGAATGTGTATGTTCCGCTTACGCCAATATCATACACAAAAAATCCTGAACACTAAGTAGAAATTCACGAACTTTGTATTGAAATGAAAGAATCTTGTTTAGTGGGCCTTTGGTAATTTAAGACCTTTGGAAACTGTATTTAAGGATTATTTGTCATTTTTAAGGATTTTTAAGGCCTTAAATTTTGAAAAGCAAATTTAAGACTTTTTAAGACTTTTTAAGGACCCGCAGATACCCTGTCACATAGAACATGCATGGATTTGCTGTTATATGTGAGTTTGTCACACAAGTTCCAGCAAAACCAAATCAGCAACTAAAGAAGACGAGTTTACCGTGCTTGTCCAGCAGCACCATGATGCTGTCTCTGTGGGTGTGGCCATAAAATTGTCCCGCTACAACGCGACTGAACTTCCTGAAGATGGAGACCAGCCTCTCGTTGTGGGCTTTCCTCATAGCGGTGGTGTTTCCGAAAAAAGGCAGGAATCCCACCGGAACGTGAGCGATGACGTACACCTGGATAAACGCGGAGGTTAGAGGGACCGGACGACCGTCATGAAGCAGATCGGATGTGTTTCTTTACTTTTTCCAGATTCAGAGCAGCTTTCTCCAGAGTCTTCTCCAGCCACTGGAACTGTCCGGCCGGGTCGGTCATGTTGAGCGTGACTTCATCAGGACCGTAGTAAAGGATGGTGTTGAGACTCACCAGGCGTAAACCGGGTTTAACCAGCTGGGAGTAAAAGCCACCTGTGGAGAAAAACACGTAAATGACCCGACGGGCTTCAGACCCAAATCTGAGCGTGTTCCTGTTAAAGCAGAGTGTTTCACTAGCGCGCTGCTGTTATTTCACAAAGGAGAGGAGCTCTTTCACTAACATAACTCAGCTATTCAAGAAATCTACAAAAAACGCGGACGTTAGAATAAAATTACACACAACCATTTGGTTTTATTACCTTAATATTATCACTATTTTATTTGTCATCTACATTATGAAAAAAGTTGCGTTTTTTTTGGTAATGAAATAAAGTTAAAGATGAATTTCAGCCCTTTAATTCTGTTTATTTGACATTTCTCTTCTTTCTGTCACTTAAACTGTTCTAATAAAACTTTTGTGTGAGAATTTAATTTTGTTCAAACATCTAGTCGAGTTTTTTTTAAAGAAGAAATCTGAATTTTTGGTTCAATTAAGATAAAATAATTTTATATTTAGATAAATAAAATAATAAATGGGAAACCAGGTCCTGGTCCCAACAAAACTCCTATTTTAATAATATTGAAGGGATTAAAAAATGTTTACCAGGTGAAGGGGGCTGAGAAAAGCTATGTAGAGCTATTGTGAACACATTGGTACCGTGTGACAGGGTGAGCAGAGCGTCTGCGTCCAGCCAGGGTTTCCAGAGAGCTGCAGCAGCTTTGTAGATCTCATTAGTGGCTGCAGGCATCTGGTCCTAAAATACGTTGGATTTAGAAACTCAAGATTCATAAAATCTCACATGAAAGTGAATAAAAAGCAGAAACCTCTGGAGTCACCTGTGGCCAGTAGTCGTGGTTCCCCAGAGCCGGGTAGACCGTCAGGTTGGGGAAGTGCTGTCTGATGGTCTGCGTCATGTTACCGATCACCTGGATCACCAGGTCTGTGGACAGCTCCTCAGGAGGGACATGAGGTGGACTGTCCCTGTGAGACAAAACATTAAGTCCAGAAATAATGATGCAAGTTCAACAAACTACAAATAAACATGTTTTCTGACAAACCGCAGAGGCAATCCTGAAGAGTTACTTTTGGATTTTAATCATCGATAAGAGTCGCAGCAGAAGAGGAAGTGAAGCTTTTTAAACAGAGTTCTGATAAACCAGGGGTGTCACACTCAAATCCACACTGGGCCCAAATGAAACTCTGGGACGAAGTCACGGGCCAAACTTAATATTTTTTGAAAAAGTGACGGCAAATTTGCATTTTCTTTATCAACATTTATGCAATTTTGAACCTTTTAATTTGGAAACAAACTTATTTCTGCATTAACACTGAATGTGGAATAACCAAATTACACACGAGCAAGTCCGATTTAAATAAAAGGCATCAGTGGTATTCATTACTTGTGGTATATTCAGCATTTTTTAAATCTATTCAGGATTTATGTTTTCTTGTTTATTCATTTTTCTTATTTTTTATTCTCCTTTTTTCTCCTGTAATACGTGTCATCGCTGCTGTGACATCTAGCTTTCCCCACTGAGGAACAATAAAGGGATTTTCTATTCTATTCATCTATCTTCAGCCTTTCCACTTCCTGTTTTACTGTCGGCTAAATCTTTTCTCACGGGCCAACAACAAAATAAAAATATAATTTTATCTTAAATGAAAATGCAATATCTCACTTGTTAACTTTCATGCTTTGGAGCAGAAAAAGAGCATAAAACCAACATATTTAAAGCTCAGTTTGCTCCACTGGTTTACTGTGATGCTCACCTGTTCCAGCCAGATACCTGCATCATGGAGTTGATCTGAGCTGAGGAGGAGACTCCTGTTGTTTTGTTCATCTTCATCATAATAATGACAACATTAGATGACAACAGGTGCTCACATAGGTTTGTGCTGATGAACATGTCTGAGCAGCTTGACCACGTTGTTGTGTGTCGGGGAGGAAACACAACGACTACAGCAGCCACAGAGTCATGCTGGTTTGAGCGTGTCGCTGCTCGCTGGAGTTATATCAGCTCTGTCTGGAAGTTAGTTGGAAAACTTTCTCTTTCAGTCGTGAAAACATTACTGAGCGGTTAAAATCTCAGTTTCTGGGCTTCAACGTCGGCAAATAGCTGAGTAAATTCGGTGCTGAGTGAGAGGAGTGTTTAGTTTGTCCGAGACAGCAGTTCTGCAGACACCGGCAGCAGACGCTGGAAAAAACACAAAGAGGGGGCACTTCGGCTCCAAGCTAACGCCACACAGCATCATGGGAGTTGTAGTCTTTGCGGTAAAATCAGCCAGCGGGTCAGTTTTAATATAATTTTGATATTTATCTCACGGGCCACATAAAAATGCTCCTTTGTGTCTGACATGTGTGTGATAAAATAACAGCAAACATCTTCTGAAGGAAGAAAACAGTCTAAATGAAAACAGAAAAAACAGTCAGATGGGAGCTTTCATGATTTAAGATGACAGCAGGAAAGAATCCAAATGATTCATTTGGAGGTTAAAGGTTAACAGGAAGTGTTTTAAATATTCTAAAAAAAATAAATATAGCAGAGTTTGGTTGCTTTAGATTAAAAAAAAAAATCTAATTTCTTAACCTAACAAAGTTTTCATTCATAAAATCATCCATAAGTCAAGTTCTTTGGTTTATAAAAGTCCAAATTAACTCTCATTTTGTTATTTTATGATTTATTTTTGACGAATAAGGTTCTGGAGAGGCCCAGACAGGAACCCAAATATTCTGTAAATGTTTCTTTTGCGGTTTGAGTTCCTAGAAGTCAGATTAAAAACCAGGAAGTGAGATTTCTGCTTGGCCATGAACGCAGAGTTTCCTGAATTCCAGAAACCTTGTGACCTGCTTTCAAATGCCATCAGGGAGATTTTCTAGAAGCCCTATCTATGCAAAATAAACAACAACAACAACAACAATAAACAACAAAAATCATCTGTTTTAAATGACCTAACCAGTCTTTAACAAACACATCAAGTAAACACGGCACAGACACACTGGTGGAGTTAGAACTAGTTACTTCTGATGCGGATGAACATGGCAGCAGGTGCTGCAATGAGTGAGTACTGACCCGGTCCATATGATGAAGTCCTGCTGCTGTGTGAGCGGCGCCATGCTACTGAAGGCTGATTGGATGAGGCTGTAGGGAGAGTCACACAGGAAGTCCCCAAACACACCGGCGTGGGTGGCGGGGGCCCCTTTAGAGGAGAAGCAGACCTTGGTGGGGTCCTGGTTCAGGTGGTAGGAGGGGTCCAGGTGGAGGTCAGTGATGTGCCAAAACCTACCTGGAAAAATAGAGATTTTATTCATCATAATGTAAAACTTGCATATCCACGGGTCTTTAAATACACCATAAATACGTGTTTTTCATTTACAAAAACGGTTTCATTAAACAGCTTAAATTGGGTTATTTGCAGATAAACTTTTGGGCTGATTATGAGTTTATTCATGATAATAACAGCCAATTAGATTTGTTCTAATGGAAAACAAAGTGTGAGACTTATTTTTAGTTATAAATATGAAAGCTGATATTCTATAAACTATCAGAATCACAAGTACTAAACAGCTGGGTGTTCTCCAGCCGAACTTCATTAAAAAAACGAACAATATTTAGATTTCAGTCATCAGCCTAAAATAAAACGGCGCTACAACAGTTTTAAACATTTTCCATGAATCAGTACGATTTTTCTCACAATTCGGCTAAAGTTTGATGACCCAGCAAGGCCAAAGTTATAAAGATATCCATTATTTCTTCGAGAACTAGTGGTTCGTGCTGTAACTCAAAGCATTTAGATCCAACAAACTCATTCACTAAGAACATTGAAGTGAGTGCTTTTAGACGAGAAGAGAACATTTGGGTTTACCTGTTCCGGACAGGTAGCTACTTCCGGTCGGAGCCGCTGCGATCAGAACCGAGCTGCACAGCAGCAGCAAGAAGCCATGAGTTAGCTCCATTAGGAGGTTCAAGTTGGGAACTAATGTGACCCACAGCCTTTATCATGCTAAGTAGAACATCCCTTCCCTTAAGTAAACAGGAAGTAGGTCTGTAAACACGGCGTCACGTGACCAGCTCTGTCTGTCAGCTGACCACTGCGTTTAGGAGCGGGGGGGGGGGGGGGGGGGGGGCTTATAAAGACTGTTTCAAGGTGCTTTTAAGCAGCACTTTTATTTAAACTACTTTTTAAAATGAATTTGAAATTAATATAGGAAAATCAGATTACTATAATATTCATTTAAAATGTTTGAATTTGATGAACTTTCAAGGCTTTGAAAGTGGTTGAATGTCTTCAGTGGCGGATTTAACAATTTGGGTAGGTGGGGGTGGGGGGGGGGGGCAAGGCGAACACAGACATGGGCCCCCTTACACCAAATTTTCGACAATCTTATCTTTAACTGGATTTGCGAAACTCTCCCCTCCTCTGACACCAGTTATTTTCCCCTTTTATTGGTCCTCCTCTTTTTTCCTGTATTTCTCTCCCCTTGAGTGATTTCTTCTTCCTGTCAGTGTTCCTGTGTTTTAGCCTTTCTTTTCTTCTATTTTGCATTTTGGTCTGTTTTCCTCCCTTTGAACATTTTCCATTGTCTTTCCTTTTCTGCTTTCTTTTGATGTTTCCATTGAAAAACGACGTCACTTTTGAAAGTGAAGATTAAAGTTTTTTTGAAGTAAGCTGCTTCTTTTTCTTATTGGAGCCACTAGGGTAAGTCCATTTCACGCTTAATGCTTTGACTACCACTTAGAGTGCGGCCTTGTTCGAGTTGAGCAGCGCCCCGCCTGGGAAACAGATGAGAGCAGACAGACGCAGCAGGGGGAGTGGTTGAAAGACGGCGTTTAAGTCAACAGATTTTTCTACATGCGTAGCTCGCGGGTGACGATGGATGAAGAAGATATCGCGTTAGCGTTCATACTTGTTTAATTTTTTATTTTAATTCTGGTGCCTGTTAGCAGCTGAAACACACCCTCACGTGCTTGTGGATATCATATATTGTATATGGAGACATGACTGTAATAATAAGTTAAGGTTATCAGCTGTTAGTGTGCTCGTAGGAAACGTGACAAAAGAACACAAAACACATTTCTCTTTATGGCCTTCATAGTTGTCATCATCAACGTTACATGATTTACAGAATACATGTGACCAACTAACATTTCATGTTCTACCACCGGATGTTCGGATCAAAATGTGAACCAATCAGATCTTAGATCAGGTGAGAGCCAGGCGTATCCCATCATGCCATAGGTTTTGCAGCCGGTGGAGAGCAACTGCAGCGCCTTGCTCCAAAATCTGCGACCACCTTGATCTCACGAGGTTATCGTTGCCTACGCAGGCTTGACGTTAGAGCAAGTCGGCGTCAAGTCGGACACAAATCTAACCGGCAAGCACTGTGCGCCGATCACCGGTGATCTAATCTGTGCAGCAGTGGCTCATCTCGAACACGGCCTTTGTTATAAATGCTCCCGCCTCTCTTCTTCTTCTGCTTTTTCTTCTTATTTGTGGTCTTAAGGCACTTGGCTGCCACCAACTGGATTGGAGTGGAATTACTACCAATCACTTCCTGTTTGTGCATCGGTGTCTAAAAAGGAATACTCCATTGTGGCATTAACAGAGGGGTGCCAGCAGTCAGGGCTAGGGAGCCCCCAAAATAAGGGGGCCCCAGGTGGCCACCGACCTATGCCTAATGGTAAAACCGCCACTGATGTCTTCTAACATGCTTGAAACAGGTTAAGGCACATTGATTATTTTCATTAGACAAGGAAGAGAAATAACTGCATTGAGGCTAAAAGTAACCATGCAGAAATCTTTTACAGTTCTCGAAAACGTTTTCTTTGCCAAAGTTTAGGAACCGTGTCTTTAGTGTACCGCCACAATAAAAAGCTAAATCTACAAACGCCATCTAAAATTCATTTATCATTTATAGTCTGACTCAGACTTAATGCTTTATTATGCAACATCCTGAACATGTGTTTATTTTAGGGCAACAGAGACAAACTAGTTCCATTATTTTATTTCATGTTTTTCACAGGTTTGCAAAGGATGACAGAAATGTATTCATATAAAAAACATCTTAAAAACATGTGCAGCTTGCAGGCCTTGTACATGTGGAAGAGGATGAAGTGCAAAGAGAAGCAAACGGTCCACAAGAATTGGAAACCAACACGGATCGGCCGGTTGGGCTGCTGTCGGAGACCTCATGCCTTCTCATAGGTACGCACCGCATGGATGTCTTCAAAGGTCAGATTCTGCAGGAAACAAAAACCGTTACCATGGTGATACTGTCAGAATAAAGTAAAGCTGAATTAAAGTTCTCTATAACAGATTCATGAGTATTTTTCATTCAAGAGATTTAAACTCAGATGAATGGCTTTATATAGTGTGTTGTTTTGTTATTTCTTTGTCTTTAATTAAGAAAATAGTTCACTAATATTATTTTTTTACTCTGTTTTGCAGATGATAGCCCTAAAATTTTTATTCCCTCATCGTCATTGTGTTTTTCTTTACTCTTGATTTCACCGGGAAGATCCAGGGAAGTAAAACGGGGTTTTGAACAATGAAACAGTTTAAGTTAAACATAACAAATTCAAAGGTGCACATGTTGATCTCACCATGATCAGCTTGCCATCCTTGATCTCTCTGACAAACTTCGTCTCTTTGCCGTCCCACTTCTGGACATGGACCAGCTTGTCCTCCTCCAGGGTCACCGTGGACTGAAAAGAACAATAAAGAAGATTTTTGGCAAGTTCCTGATCTTTTTCCAGAGGCATCACAATCTCAACTCTTAAATAGAAAACAAATCCAGAATTTTAGACAATTTTCACCCAAAAAATGTGACTATAGAAAAGTTCCTGGTAAAATGCTTGATGAAGCCTCTAACATCTACAACCACTCAGTAGTTATTAAAACTCTGATGTTTGTAAATCCTGTTTCCATGAATTCCCCAAAACAAATGAGTCTTTTATGTCGCAGGTCCTACTTTGCAGTTCCTGTCATCAGCAGTGGCCTCGTCAAACTCCTCTCCCAGTTTAAAAGCGATCTCCGTGTTTTTGAAGGTGCTCTGGGTGCGGATCACCACCTTGTCCCCCTCCTGGCTGATGATCACGGTCGGTTTGGTCACGTTCCCAACCTGCCTGGTGGCAAATCCCACACCTGAGAGAGAACCCAGAGAAAAAAGGTTCAAAGATCCACTCGTGGCTCTTTTCTAAACATTTATGTCCTTTTGCATCAAAACAAAGATCTAGAAGTTTCATGATCATGTTTTCTGCATAGATTTTTTTGAGTGAATGATCAGACTAAGTGAAGAAGACTCACCAAGTGCTTTCATGTACTCATCAAAGTTCTCGCTGTCAACCAGCTTCCAGGTGGCACAGAAGGCATCGACCATGGTGAAGGTTTGCAGAAGGACCACGTTATCTCCAAAGCTCACTGAGCAAGCTGCAGCTCCAGCAGGTTGACTCCCTGCACTTATTCTGCTCCTCACTATTATGCACACAGGCAGGCGGTACTCTGCAATCTGATTGGCTCAGGAGATTTTTACTAAGCTGTGATTGGCTGTTAAACTGGGTCAAATTCTTTAACAGGAGACAAAATTGAATTGTCCCATTTGTTTGTTAAATGATGTAATTATGGTGTTTTAATGAGTGATGGATGGGCGTGGTGAGAAGATGTCTGTCTCCAGAAAAAGACTTGAGTGTAGCTACTTTACAGATTATTATGTTCAGAAAACAGATGATTGTTCTTTTAGTGCACGGGAGTGCAAATATGTGGACGTGTGTGTACTTTGGGCTAAACTACATCTAGGTTTTAGTTATTTTCTAAATCAGGATTATTTAATTTCTTTTTGGCCATTTGGAGACGGACCTTCATGTGAGTGGAATGTGTCCTGATGGGAATGTCACTCAAGCAGAATCAGTCTGTTGGACAGCCTTTTGTCCTCCACAACATTAACACACACACACACACACACACACACACACACACACACACACACACACACACACACACACACACACACACACACACACACACACACACACACACACACACACACACACACACACATGAGTGCGCGCACACGCACGCACACACACACACACACACACACACACACACACACACACAACCTGAGTGTCTTTATGCCCTACACACTCATTAATTACTACGAGTAAATGTCTCTGAATAAAAACTGCATTTGTGCACAAAGTTTGAGACAAATATTATTTTCTAATTTGATCAAATTAATTTTTTTTATGTTTGAAGGAGCCAAATGTTGATGTTTTATAAAGAGTTAAATTCACTGACATCCTCATTTATTCTGTTTATTTAGATTTCCTTTATGTAGAAAAATCTTCATGATGAGTATCTGTGTTTTTTATATAATAAACAAATATTAAAGTGCTTGATTTTATATTTTTCTCTCAGGAATGTTTTAAAATGACCTGCAAAAATATGATAAGTTAGTAAAATATGTTATTTAAGCACTTTCTTAGCTATGCATCTTCACAAATTTGCACATTTATGCATTTTTTAGAAAAAAGTAAACATATTTAGTTAATGCAGTTAAATGCATGCCGTAATTCTAGTTTTGATTTATCTAACTCTTTAATTCAGCGTCACTCCTGCTTTTGTTTACCTTTTTTTCTTAGTTTTCTTCTTCTTTTGGCTGTTTTCCATGGTCAAATATTTTATTTGTCTTCATCTACAGATTTAGTTGACATTCTCTCTTTCTCATGATCTGAGTAGAAAATAAAAATGTTTTCTCTCCAAATACAAAATTCAAACTAAAGAACAAACTGTGATTATTCCCATCATTCTGCATGTTTCTAGCAGAATACATCAAGTCTTACATTGAAACACCCAGTTTTACTCTCATCTCTTGTCTCTGATGTCACTGGCTCGACTGTAAAGATTTCTTTAGAAAACAGAAAAGCTGATAAATAAATCTGGGTCTTTGTGCATCTTGAGTCCAACAACATAAACAGTAAAAAATGAGATTTTAGGACAAACAGAACTGGGTTTTGGAGAAAGATGAAGAGGTGTGGCTGAAGCATGCAGAAGGCTCTTTGGCGCCACCTTCTGGTTACAAGCAGAATAAACCAATAAAGGGTTTATCTGTTTTATTTTATTTGTTCTTTATTTAACCAGGAAGGTCCCAGTTGCAGGCAACCCAACAATCTCTATGTATGTTTGCCTGCATCTTAAAATTTAAAGCTTGTTTGTTGTTTTCTGATTTAGACAAATCATCAGATTCCATCTAAACAGGAATATTTATCATGTTTACAGACATGGTGCGGATTTATGACTCATAACACATGTCTCACCTTATTTATTATGTGTGACGTTCACATCTCATTTTACTCACTTGTTCATAGTTTCATTTTCTTTGGTTTTGTTTTCTTATTTTAATATATTTGTTTCTGTTTTAGTTGATCTTAATAGATTTAAGCTGATAATGGTTGTTGTTTCATTAGATTATTATATCAGACGTGTGGTTTAATGGTGGTTTTATAAAACTAACATTTTTCTAAAAACAGAATAAACTTTTATTGGGTTTTAGTTTGAGCTTTGGGTTTGATGTCATGGAAACAAAGCGTCTAACCGCAGCATCTTCTGGTGTTTATTATTGAAACTTATGGTGGAAACAGACTCTGCAAAAGCATAAAACAGATTAAAGAAAATGTCTCTGACATATCAAAATGGATGAAATCCCACCATCTCCAACTCAGCCTCTCTAAAACTGAACTGCTTGTCATCCCAGCAAAACCATCCATACAGCACAATATCTCAATCCAAAATGACTTCCTATCTCTGGCTCCTTCAAAGGCAGTTCGAAATCTGGGTGTTGTGATTGATGAACACCTGACCTTTAAAGATCATGTTGCCTCTGTTACTCGTTCATGCTGCTTTGCGCTGTATAACATATGAAAGATCCGACCATACCTAACACAACATGCCACCCAGCTCCTGGTGCAATCTACTGTCATCTCCCGCCTCGACTACTGCAATGCCCGTCTAACTGGTCTTCCAGCCTGTACTGTGAGACCTCTTCAAATGGTCCAGAAAGCAGCGGCGCATCTGGTATTCAATCAGCCAAAAAGAGCACATCACCCCTCTGTTCATTGAGCTCCACTGGCTACCGCTAGCAGCACGCATCAAATTCAAATTGCTAACACTAGCATACAAAGTCCGAGATGGTACGGCTCCCATCTACCTGAATCCTCTTGCAAAGGCTTACGTCTCGGCCCGGCCGCTCCGGTCATCACAGGATCGTCGGCTAGCAGTGCCTACACCACGCTCAGGACAATCCAGACTCTTCTCATGCATCGTTCCACAAATGTGGAATGACCTTCCAGATACTACCAGAACAGCGGCTTCCTTTTCAATTTTCAAGAAACTCCTGAAGACCCTGCTCTTCAGAGAGCATCTTCTAAACTAGCACCCTCCCTGCACCCGTCCCCCCTCTCTACTGTCCACTCCTTTGTTCCCTCCTCTCCAAGTTGTTGTTGTTATTGTTGTTGTTAGCCTCAAGGGCAACATGCCGATTATCACTTGTAAGTCGCTTTGGACAAAAGCGTCTGCTAAATACATAAACATAAGCATAAACATGAACAGCTGTTAAACAACTACTGGTTGGGAGGAAAAAGAGGTGAGATATGAACTCAAGAGCTAAATATCCAGAAGTTTACAGTACCTTTGTGTGGTAATTTGTTGTTTGTGGAGGAATCAGAATTTTGTTTGTTTGATTCAGCTGGTTCTGCTGTTGTTGCTTTAGTCGTCATCAATTTAATTATCAGTTTACTCATCGTTGGTTTAGTTGTCTGTTTAGTCGTCGGTTTGGTCGACGTTGGTTTAGCCGTCAGTTTAGTTGCTGGTTTACCTGAGAAAACAAAACAGGAAGAAAAAAAACTTTATCCAACAAAATCTACAATTCAAATCTTGCTCTAACAGGAAAGTTTGAGATAACAACATATTTTATAAATACTCACTGTTAGTTATAGTTAAACGGTAAAATCTGGTTTATGTCAACGTCCTGATGAATCAAACTGTATGCAGGTGTACTGACCGGCATCCTGACCTTTCTCAGTTGTAACTGAAAACAATCTGAACCTCGTAGGCTGAGCTGAGTTAGGAGGTAAAAGAGAACCAAACGTGAAGTTCTCTCACAAACAGTGGAACGCTGTCCGTGGAGCTGAACTCTGAAAAGTGGAGCGCTGTCCGTGGTGCTGAACACTTTAATCTAATGGGAGCTTCAAAAGTCTGATTTGTATTCTGTATCAGTTTTCATGGAGGAGACAGAAGGCTGGTCGTCTGTAAGGAGTCAAACTGCTAGCCTCAGACCTTTTAGTCACTTCACTAAAACAGAAAATATGCAACTTGTGTCTGAATTTGTAAATTACTCCAGTCGATGGAGTGTTTATGTTACTTTAATCGCCATGTTGTGGTTCTGCCTGTAATTCTAGATCAGTGAAACCTCGGAAAGATAACCCGCCAAACAAAATCCCATCAGGGATGTTTGTGATGTTTTATCATGCAGATGTATCTATTTCAGCAGGTGCTTTACTATTAAGGATTACCTAGCATCTGTCCTTTTACTCTTCTCTTTTAGCTTTTTATGATTTGTGTATTTTATTAGTTTTTGATTCTGAGGTTTTTATGTTCTATCTTTTATCGCAATCTCAAATTTTATGCTGTATGGTCTTATTTTGATACGCAAAGCCCTTTGGTCACCTTCCAAGGTTGTTGAAAGCCCTACACAAATAAACTTGATTGATTGATTGATTGATTGGTTGATAATAATAATAATAATAATAATAATAATAATAATAATAATAATAACAATACATCAAACTTATATAGAGCTTGTTTAGGACACAAAGATGCTTTCATGCACTCTCACATTCACACACTGCTAGTGATGGTAAGCTACTTTGTAGCCACAGCCGCCCATTTGGCGCCGTCGGCCCCTCTGACCACCACCAACACAGCAAGTTGGGTGAAGTGTCTTGCCCAAGGACAACAGCAGAATACCCTTGGTGGGAGCTGGAATCGAGCCCATGACCCTCCCTCCGATCATGAGGCAACCCGCTCTACCTCCTGAGATTCTGCTGCCCCATGATTGATTGATTGATTGATTGATTGATTGATTGATTGATTGATTGATTGATTGATTGAGCAGTACAGGAAAGGTTACAGAACTGGGGGGTAGAAAACAGGAAGTTGTACGTTTGTACTAAAGTGATGTGAAGATTGACTAAAGAATAACGAAATATGACTTGATGTTTTTTTTTTTACAGAAAATGTTTACACAAAATAAAATATTTGACCCAGATTCCTTAACTTCTCAGTTTAACGAGCACTGCCTCTCCATTCTGGACAACATCTGTCCTGTCAGAACCAGATCAGTTCCTGCAGTGAACCCTACTCCCTGGTTTAATGACAGCCATGGCAGCCTAAAGTGCCAATGCAGAAAAATTGAGTGCTTGTGGAAGAAAACCCATCTCCACATCCATCTGCTGCACCTAAAGGATCTTCTGACATCCTTTAACTCTGCTGTCAGAGACGCTAGGGTTTCCTATTTTTCCAACCTGGTGTCCCAGAGCAAAGGGAACCCCAAGGTGCTGTTTAACACCATCAGCAGCATTGTCTCTCCTGCCTCTCCTACAGCCTCCATCCACTCTGTTGTAGACTGTGAGAACTTTCTGTCTTTCTTTGTGGACAAAGTCCATAAAGTTAGATCTAGCATCTCTCCTTCAGCCTTATCGCTGCCTGCCCCGACTCCAACCAGGCCCATCATCCTAGATAGCTTTTCTCCTGTTTCTTTGCCTGAGTTAACCAAACTAGTTAACTCTATGAAGATCTCTGCATGCCCCCTCCACATCTTACCCTCATCTTTGTTTAAAAGTGCTTTTCAGTCCATCGGCCCAGCGTGTTCTCTATAATTAATGCTTCTCTGGTTTCTGGTCAGGTCCCCGCTTACTTTAAGAACGCTGTAATCCACCTGCTTCTTAAAAAACCGAGTCTTGATGCCTCTCTCCATAGCAGCTTCAGACCCATCTCTAAACTTCCGTTCATCTCCAAGATCTTGGCAAAGGCTGTGGCTAAACAACTCACAGCTGCTCTTGATGAACATAACATCTATGATTGCTTCCAGTCAGGTTTTTGTAGAGCTCATTCTACTGAAACCTCTCTTCTTAGGGTCTCTAATGACCTTCTGACTCACAGTGATGCAGGGGACTGTTCTGTTCTGGTCCTGCTGGACCTGACTGCAGCCTTTGACACTGTTGACCATCACCTGCTACTGGAGAGGCTGAGAGACTGGGTAGGCCTATCAGGAACTGCTCTGGAGTGGTTCTCCTCTTATCTTTCTGAGCGCTCCTTTTTTGTGGCCGTCTCCAAGTTTAGGTCCTCCACCACCTCCCTTACCCATGGTGTCCCACAAGGTTCTGTGCTGGGGCCTCTGCTCTTACTCCTCTATCTGCTTCCTCTTCAGCACATCCTGAGCTCCTTCAAAGGAATCTCCTACCATCTTTATGCAGATGACATCCAACTGTACATCTCCTTTAAGCCCCATGAGATGTCTAAGCTGCAGCTGTTACACACCTGCTTAGACTCTATCAAAACCTGGATGGCTGGGAGCTTTCTTCAGCTGAATGAAGATAAGACTGAGATCCTCATCTGTGCCCCAGACAAGCTGGTTCCCAAAGTCAGAGACTCTCTTGGTCAGCTTGCTTCTCACACCAAACCTTCCGTCAGGAATCTTGGCATGACCTTTGACCCAGCTCTCACCCTGGATTCTCATATCAGTTCTCTTGTTCGCTCTTCCTTCTTCCATCTCAGGAACATTGCTAAGCTGAGTCCCATTCTGTCCCACTCTGAACTTGAGACAGTTCTCCACACCTTCATCTCCTCACGTTTAGACTACTGTAACTCTCTTTTCACGTGTCTGAGCAGAACCTCCCTGAACCGTCTACAGGTGGTTCAGAATGCCTGTGCTCGGCTTCTGACCAAGTCCTCCAAACACACCCACATCACCCCGCTTCTCCTCCAGTTTCTCTGGCTGCCAGTCAACTTCAGGGTTCATTTCAAGATCCTGGTTCTTGTCTATAGGGCCTTACATGGACAAGCACCATCTTACATTGATGATCTTCTTAGTCCCTACACCCCTTTTGATGGAAAACAGATGGTGAAACTCTAGGATTAGAAAATCCTGACAGATCTACGTCACATTGTCACTTAAGATTCATGGACTCACCCATCTTAACTCACAACGGGGAAGGCTGTTGTTGGTTTAGTGTCCAGGAAACAACAGAGAACGTCTCAGCTAGTAGACGCTAACAGTTAGCATTAGCAACTCCACCACACAGCAGAAATCCTCCAGGCTTGTGTTGTTTGTGGAGATAAAACATCAACGTTGCAGAGCAAACAGAGTCAGCGGTAGAGTTGTATTGCTGTTAGCCAATCAGAGGAGAGATGTCCAGCTATCAGGAAATAAGACTCTAAAACCTGTCGGCTGAAGCTCAGGGCAACTTTTAGGTCTGAGAAATGGTGCAGCTGTATGTCTTTTCCCCCTGAAAACAACTTATAAGGCATTCATTCCTACTAGAGACCACTGTAAATGCATTGATTAACCAATTAATCATTTCCTTTAATTAAATAATTAAGCCAGATTGTACCGACAAACACGATCTGGGCTTATTTTTAGAACGCTGCACCCCGGGTCCACAAACTCTCAGGAGTTCACTGTTTGTGTGAAACAGAATCAACACCTGTTGGTTCCTGATGAGATGCATTCTGGTCATTTCTGTGCTTACAGGCCGTCAGCTCCCTGGTATCTCAGACGCAGGAACATGGACCGTTTTATTCCCGGCTGCTGCGCTGCATCACTTAACATTCCCCATGAGGAGCTGAGCTGTCCATTCCAGGCGGGGTGGGGGGGCACAAGTGGCTGCAGGGTGACATGGCTCCTGTAGAACAGTTCCGGTTTCATCTGATTTACCAGACACACCTGGAGTATTAACGTTTGAGTTAATTAACTAGGGGAGGAATTAGGTTACGTATACGAATGAGGTTACATTTAGTTTGAGTGTGATCATCAGTAGCTCAGGAGGTAGAGCGGGTTGTTGGTTCAATCCCAGCTCCAGCCAGAGAATTCTGCTGTTGTGTCCTTGGGCAAGACCCTTCATCCACCTCACCTGCGGGTGGTGGTCGGAGGGACCGATGGCACCTGTGCTCAGCAGCCTCGCCTCTGTCAGTGCGCCCCGGGGCAGCTGTGGCTACATCGTAGCTCATCACCATGTGAATGTGTGTGCATGGATGAATGACAGATTGCGTTATAAAGTGCCTTGGGGGGTTCTAGGACTCTAGAAGGTGAAATATCAAAAACAGGCCATTCACCATAAAAACTAAAATGACTCATTTCAGGTCTTTTTTCATTCTGAGAGTCTGTGAACACATGAACTTGTTTTTATTCCTGTTTACTTTCAGTTTGACAAAGTTGTATTTAAAAAGTATTTTACCCCATCATGTATTAGAACTTTAAATAAAAATGCATTATAATACTTTATAGTATAATATACTCTCGTATACCCCAACCTTCAGATAATTTAATGCATACGGTTTCAGCTTATTAAATAATGCTCGCCTTTTATGATTTTTATTAGTGATGAAATAAATGCCTGATGGTGTAGCTGCCATGTTGTGTCTTATTTCACTTAATGAGACCATTTATACTATTTAATATGAGGAAAACATAGTTTTTCTTACTTTATATATACTTTACTTTATATATTTATAAATATTAAAGATCGTTTACAAAAACAGCTAAAAAATTTATTAATCTTTTTATTTATTTCAGGTGACATGAGTCAACATAACGTTTACAGAGTAAGATGGAAAATTAATTATCTGCTTTTTCAAATATACACTTCATAACACACACACACACACACACACACACACACACACACACACACACACACACACACACACTGCTATCACACGGAATTTTTAAAAACACATTTCATTCATTCATCTGTGGACTGCTTAGATCCAATCTCCCCTCTTCCTGGATCAGCTGAACATGGGTGTGACGTCAGTGGGGGCGGGGTTATGTAGGTGCAGCAGAGCGGAGAGTAGAGAGGTGGATGAGTCTCCTCACCGCTCCTGGATCAGCAGCATCCTGAGACAGAGGCGTGTCTGACCCGCAGACAGACAGACAGACAGGCCGGAGAGACAGACACCGATCATGGCGTCCAAATGTCCCAAATGCGACAAGACAGTTTATTTCGGTGAGTGTTTGTCCCGCAGCCGCTGCAGAGGCCGCTGCTAGCCCGGCGTCGTGATCGTTTCCGGAGGCTTCTGCTGGCTCGCGTGTGTGTGTGTGTGTGTGTGTGTGTGTGTGTGTGTGTGTGTGTGTGTGTGTGTGTGTGTGTGTGTGTGTGTGTGTGTGTGTATGTGTGTGTGTGTGGTGGTGGTGGGGGGGCGGTGGCTGACCAGACCAGTCTTTATTCATTGGGAGTGAAAACTAGAGCTTTATGTAGCAATAAAATAAAAAAAATACTCTAGGATTTAAAAATCCTGCTAATCACTTTTTTCAAAAAAATTTTTAAATTTATTTTGCTTTTTAAAGAAGAATTAAAATTAAAGTAGAGCAGAAGATGGGCTAGAGGGATCTTTCTAGTCTGCTCTGGTCTGTTAACCATTAACCTTAATTCGTTTTTAATTAAGATTTAATTTTATTTATTGCATTTTTTCACTCTTGAGAGGTTTCAATGGGTTGTACTTTAATAAAAATATTAACTGTCAATATAAAGAATATTATTAATTAGGTACTAATGGATTCTTTTTAAGTTTAACTTTTGACCAAGCATCCATATTTTTTATTTTAGTTGTTTTTGGGTATTTTTGTTTTTGAAGCTGAGTTGAATGCATGATTCATTATAAAATGGTAACTAAAATCTGCTTTAACAAGGACAAAGATGTCATTGGTCCCTAAAGTGGTCCATCTTACCTGCTGTAGAACAGCTGATCCTTATAAGAAAAGCTGCTTTATTCATGTTAAATTTAATATTTTAATATTATTTATTCAGAATTAATGTGAGAAGAAGAAACAAGCTGGAAATATTTCAAACATTTCTGCATCAAATAACCACTAAACTCTGTGTACATCTTCATGAAATATGAGATGTGGTGTTTTTATCTCATTTAAGGATTAAAGGTGCAGAAACACTTTGAGACTGATCCTTCACAGTACAGCTGTCTGCGTTTACAAATGTTTTCAAAGTTGTAAGATCTTAATTATTCATCTTTTTTACATAAATGTTCTCTAAAGAATCTGACGTGTTTTAAGACAACATTTAACAACAGGATCAATGCTTTTGTCATGTTAAAAATAACCGATCGGTCCGACTTAGTTACACTCAGCTGTCATTTTATCGATATTGAAATCATTCAAATGCTTGTTTTGCTCTAATTACTCACAATTCATGATAGATTCTTGTTAGAATGAACTTTCTGTGATTTAAAGTTTATTTTTCCGTTTTAACTGCATCAGATTTGACTCACATGAAAACAGATCAGCTGTGGCGAGACTGTTTTCCTCCCAGACTGATCAGAGCCAGCTCAGACTCCATGGTTACTTCTGCAGCTCAGATCAGTCATATGTGATTTCACCGTCTCTGGATTAGATTACACAGAGCCGTTAACGAGCCTGTTTGCTGCTGGACATCAGAGATAAAATCCCTTATTCTGCATTAGATTAAGATAAAGTGCTACTTTTGAAGCAGAATGGAGGTTTTTCTTTTTCACAATTTTGCTCCGAGTTTATCCACTTATCTTAATTTTACTTTAGAGCCACGCGGACCTGATGGTTAATAAATAATTGATTGTTTTATGGATTTACTGTCTTCCTCCTTCGTTTCCCAGGAGAACAGCAGCTAAACCAAACCCTGCAGCCTGAAACCATCACTCTGCTTTTATTTACTGATTTAGCAGCGAATCTGATGCTTTTGCTGCTTCGTGCACCTGCTGAGAAAATCCCTCTGAGCTCTAACCCTAACCCATCATCTCAGTGTTTGGATTTAGTTGCTTTTCATGAGTAAAAGTTACTTATTTGAGCTTTTTCTTTTAACATAAACTAAAACAACTGACTGGTTGCCACAGCTTGGTGCCTCGCTCCCCCTCAGTGTGACAGCGGCTGTCACGGATCAGGCTGATGGGCCGAACGGCCTCTTGAGTCCAAACAGGAAGTGTCATGTCGTATCAGGCTCAGTTTATCTGCTGGGATATTTTAGGAGGAGAAACAAACAGATAAAAGATTGTTGGTGAACTTCTCGCTCCCTCTGTCCATCCATCTGTGTGTCAGACCAAAGTCTCTGCTACCGTGGTGACAGAGCCCGGCTGGGCCCAACAAAGAGGCTTTTATGTGTTAGTTTGCTTTAAGGGGGGGTAAGGAAAAGGCCAGGTTGTGTAATGTTACAGGAACACGCTGAGGCCTTTTGTAGAGAAAATAGTGAAAAAAAAACTCCAATGAGAAGATGAAAGGTGTTCCGATTTGAAGTTTCCATCACTCTGATTCCAGCCAGGAGCAAAAAACTAAAGTTCTGGACTTTTTAAACATTTTACCCGTCTCTCTCTAAAAGCTGAGACCTGCAAACCAAAGTGAGTTTAGCACACAGAGAACTAGTTCACCTGTCCAACCCATTCATCTCTTCGCCCCACTTCTGGGGACTGGTAACCTGGGGTCAGTGACGGTTGCCTGGCAACTGGTTCTGACCAGAAAATGGGCCGGTCCTCTACAACAGAAAAATGTCTGTCGGAGGTTTCGAATAAAGTTGGTGAGAAATTACCGTTTGAATCCGAAACGGGTCAAACTTTAACCCTTTAATATGTTTTAGTCCTTTTATTTTATTAAATCGAGCTCTGAGGTCATGCAGAAAAAAAAACATATGGAGTGTTATTGTTCATTATTAACATCCCAATGTTTTTAATAGTGGTTTAAGTTATTATCATTTTTTACATTAACTTCACCCTCTTTGCCCAAAAAACGGAAAAAAGTTCATAATTCACTCTTTCATATTGCTGTGAAATTTAAGGGTTAAATAATTCTGAAGGTTTTCATCTTAAGTGACAGAAAAAGGAGCCGGAAGTTGTTGTTCCAGGACCAGGTTTGAGATAAGTCAGCTAAGAGCCGTCACTAACGCTGTGTCTCAGTAAAGCTGATGGATGGAAGAGCCGACTGAAGCTTCATGAAGTAGATTGAATGTTATAAAATAGAAGCGTGGGAGTCACGGCCTGACCTTTAAAACGCTGTGGAAAGAATTTGCTTTTGGCTGATACGAACCCTTAAGTAGCCGTTAAGTGTTTTCTATCACGTGTGCTGCAGCCGACACTGGGACACGGCTGCACTTTTATTAATCACAACAGATTCCTATTCATGCTGGTTTACATTTTAAATCACTGCTGCAAAGATTTCTTTGATTAAATGTGTTCATAAGAATAAGTCGTTTCTAATTGAAAGAAAAAGGAGGAGGAGTCAGGCACTACTTACCTGGAAGCAGAAAGGATGAACAGGTGTGTAAAAAAGGATCTGGATCTGTTCTCCTAATTATTAAAAACTCAGAATAAAACTCTTCTTTTTCATATGAACCAGAACCTGCTGCTAGCTGGGTTAGATGTACAAATGCAATTTCCTTTAGAAAAATACTTCATCTTTATCTGTTTACCCCACATCTCTGCATAGTTACAGTTTTCTTCTGTTTTAACTCTAAAAAAGACAACCTTGGATTTGATTTCATGTTTATATAATAATAATAATAATAATAATAATAATAATAAATGACAAATGGCCAGCACTTGTATAGCGCCTCTCAGAGTAAGGACTCCAAAGCGCTTTACACTACAGTGTATCATTCATCCATTCACACACACATTCACACACTGATGGTGATGAGCTGCGATGTAGCCACAGCTGCCCTGGGGTGCACTGACAGAGGCGAGGCTGCTGAGCACTGGTGCCACCGGTCCCTCCGACCACCACCAGCAGGCAATGTGGGGTAAATGTCTTGCCCAAGGACACAACAGCAGAATTCTCTGTCTGGAGCCGGGATCGAACCCGCAACCTTCCGATTACTGGACAATCCGCTCAACCTGTTTAGTTACTGCTGCTACTGCTAATAATAATACAATTCAATTCAAAGATACATTATTAATCCCAGGGGAAAATTAGAGTTAATGACTATAATAATAATAATAATAATAATAATAATAATATTGATGATGATGATACTAATTATAATGATGATAATAATAACAATAATAATAGTAATAATTATTATTATAATGATGATGATAATAACAATAATAATAATAATAATAATGTGTCATTTTATTTCCCCGCAGCGGAGAAGGTGTCCTCTTTAGGGAAAGACTGGCACAAGTTCTGTCTGAAATGTGAACGCTGCAGCAAGACGCTGAACCCGGGTGGTCACGCCGAGGTAAGATCAACAGAAACAGGACGAGCTTTTAAGTTTGTTAACAGCTTTGTTATTTTACAAATCTGAGCAGGGTTTTTTATTTTATTGAGCCAGAAACGGATGAGAAGACGACCGCATGAATCTAAAAGTCCAAGATTAAAGAAACCTTGTGTTTGTGATAAATCTGTTCCTCTTGCTTCATCCTGCAGCACGATGGGAAGCCGTACTGCCACAAGCCCTGCTACGCCACCATGTTTGGACCTAAAGGTTCTGCTTCACCTCGTCTTCCATAAATCACACACCTGGTATAAAGAAAGCATCAGTTTCAGGTGTGTGTGTGTGTGTGTGTGTGTGTGTGTGTGTGTGTGTGTGTGTGTGTGTGTGTGTGTGTGTGTGTGTGTGTGTGTGTGTGTGTGTGTGTGTGTGTGTGTGTGTGTGTGTGTGTGTGTGTGTGTGTGTGTGTGTGTGTGTGTGTGTGTGTGTGTTCGTAGGTGTGAACATCGGCGGAGCTGGTTCCTACATGTACGACTCTCCTGTCAATGAAGCTCCTGCTGCGGTTTCCATGGAAACCCTTGCCAAGCCAGAGGAGGAGAGAAGAGCCCCACGGGGACCAGTGAAGGGTGAGAAAGATGTGGAGCAGAAATAGAAAAACTGTCGTGTTGGAATTCAAACATGCAGGAAAAATCTCTGGTTTGGTTTAGGTTCACTTGAAGCTCAGATCCTTTAACTTCCTCCTTTTAAATGTGCTTTTAGACTAGTCAGTTCCATAACTGACCAAACAAAAGCTGCATTATTTAATCCCAAAGTTAAAAAATGTAAATATTTGCTGTAATTCCAGCTGCCAGCTTCTCGTCCTTCTCTGGAGGACCCAACATCTGCCCCAGGTGCAACAAGACAGTCTACTTTGGTGAGCTCACTGCCTCACATCTCTTCATGTCCGTGTCTGAGTGTGTCTCGGTGACTCAGTCGTCTGGTTGCCGTGGTGACCGTCTCCATGGCGGCCTCTCTGTGTGCGTTTCTGTGCAGCTGAGAAGGTGTCGTCTCTGGGGAAGAACTGGCACCGGCCCTGCCTCCGCTGTGAGCGCTGCAGCAAGACTCTGGCTCCAGGCAGCCATGCAGAGGTGAGAACATCTGCCTGGTGACGAGCAGCTGTGGTGGAATTCATCAGAGGAAGGTTACACACACACACACACACACACACACACACACACACACACACACACACACACACACACACACACACACACACACAAAACGACATTATGACATCATATGGTACCAGCTAACGTTCTAGGGTACCTCTTAGCCAATAGCCATGGCAGATTTAAATTCAACTGCAGTGCAGAGTTTTTACCTGACAACGGCACAACACTGACAGTTTTAGGCAGAAAATTTAAATTTTAACTAAAATGCACTAAAGTGCAAAACTATTGACTACACGTGTCTGCAGCACGATTAGACACACATTTATATAGTTTATCAGGAAAAATGAGTTGATTTGGGGGTGACTTGCTCTTTAAATAAAAACATACTTTAATCTGTGTTCTTTATTTTATTATTATTTGCTTTTTACAAAAACTGTGAACCTAAAACATCTGAAAGCTTTGGGGTCTCATTTATCAAACATTGCGTAGAATCCTTACTAAAACCCTACTTACGCTCAGCAAAAAAAATGTACTTACGCCTAGTAGGTTTGTGATCTATCAAACATGGAGTACGCACAGCTGAACGCAATCTCCACTTCATCAATCAGAAACTATCTAGAAAGGTTCTCAGCTGCTTTTTAGTCACACCCCGCCCTCACCACGCCCACTTTCTGCCATAAATGGTCAATGCAAAGTGCCTTGTGGATCTCATGCATATACATAAGCCGGCCTGTTGCAGCCTTTCAATCACGACCGCAGATCAAGGAAGTACTATTTCACAAGCAGAAGTTGAGGTACCTGTGGGTGAGGTGGAGAAATGAAAGGAAGTGCTTTTAAAAAACAAATAAGAGAAAATCCACGGAGTGGCACAGCGTTGCTGAAGCCGTCAATGCTGAGTTCTTCAGAGAGATCTGTGGTGGATATTAAAAAAAATGGTCCGATTGGGATTCGATCCCCAGACTCCTGGATGAAAGTCGCGCACGCTAACCAGTCAGCCAAACAGAGATCTCCCCTGTACAAGTAACCAGGGCGCATGATCAATCAGGTCACAGTGACAGGACACACACTGTCACTGACGCATGACATTCTGTCTCAGTCTGTCCCCCTGCTGATATTCTGCACTCCATATTCTGCGCTTAAGGCTGTGTGTGCGCGCATGTGTGTGTGCGTGTGGGGGGTCTTGTTCTGTGTGAAAACGAAGCAGTACAAGTGATAATGCTGCAGGAGTTCATAATTTTATCCTTCTCAGCAGCAGCACTGCAGGTGCTCTCTGTGTCCAAAATGTCCATAAGCCAGGTCCTTAGTCAACTTAAAGTTGCGCACATTTTTCTGCTAAGTTTTCTTTCATAAATCCCAAAGTTTGCATGGAAAGTTGCTTACGCAGTTTTCCGACCCGTTTTGTGCGTAAGCAAGCTTGATAAATGAGGCCCCTGATCTCTCGTTTTTGTTCCTGGTGCAGCACGATGGACAGCCTTACTGCCACAAGCCCTGCTACGCTGTGCTGTTTGGGCCCAAAGGTGAGAAACGTAAAAACCTCACACCTACATGACTTTATTCTAGCTGAACCTAATGACATTTCTTGCTTTAGCATGTGAACAACTAGTGTGTTTCTGCAGCAATTCATTTAGTAAAATGAAAAATAAAGAATTTTCTGAATATTATTCAAAATTGTGTGTGAAATGATAAATGACCCGCACTTGTATAGCGCCTCTCAGAGTCAGGACTCCAAAGCGCTTTACACTACAGTGTGTCATTCATCCTTTCACACACTGATGTCAACAAAAAGCATGTTTAGAAAAAAATCAAAGGTATAAAACCCATAAACAGTTTCCGTGCAGGAATCTGAATGTTTGTGTCGTTTAACTTTTTTCTTGATCGTCTCAGGTGTGAACACCGGGGGGGTCGGCAGCTACATCTACGACGACCCTGACGCCGAGGCGGAGTCTTAAAGCTGAGCAGCTCCAGGACTCGGCGTCGTTCTTCTGCCTTCAGTAGTTGTTGTGATGAAATAATCGGTACTAGACTCACGGGAAGGAACGGCTACACATTTATGTTGTATTTGTACGTTTATATTATCTATTTTTTGTACTGAAACAAGCCTTTAATAAGTCCTCCAGATTTACCTTTAGGTTTATCAGTTCTACAGCCAAATATCTATCAGTATTATTTATTGGAGGAGATCAAAGCTCGTGTGTTTTCATCTTCATCAGTAGGTTTTTAGACAGACGTGCACTTACAAACATGTACTGTATGACAATGAAATGTAACGACTCACCTTTTATTGTCGGTGTTTTTCAACCTGTTTCTCCAGGTTTTATTAGGAAAGTTACTGCAGTAAAGACACGTAGATTTAACTCGATGACATGTTTTATACAATAAATCTGTGGGAAGCAGGTCTGTGTTTGTTTACTAACATGAAAGCAGAAACATCTGAGCTGTATTTTAGTTTATGGTATGAAGACTCACGGTGGCAGCAGCATTACTCTGATTTACCGGCATGGAGTACTCTAAAGCGTCCCTTTCCTTACCTGGGAGACCCCAACAGGAGCTGATGTCCCACCGCTGCCAGGAACGTGGAGGTCCTCAAACCCTTCCACCATGATAAGGTGGAAGTTCTGCAGAAAGTATTTTTATTTTTATTTTAGGTTTGTTTGGAGGGTGGGCGGGGTATTGCTTTCTGTTTCTCATTAGTTTTTTTGTATTTTAGGCTTTTTGATTTGATCAAATTTTTGTTTTATTAGCAACTCTTTGTTCTAATTGCTTCTGGTTCTCAAAAGCCTTTCACCTCAGTTTCAGCTTCACTTTAGTGCTTCAACAGCTTCAGCTATCATTTTCCCACTTCCTATGGAACACTGTAGTCATGGTAACCAAGTGGGCCCAAAGTCAACATGTGGAAAACATGTACATTTAGTTTTTGTGTTGAAATTTTTTCAGAAGTTACTGAAATTTAGACTTGATTTTCTTCTTAAACATCGACCACTTCAGCCAGATTCCTTTTAGGGTTTTTCCAGATGTGACAGATGTGTTACTGCCACGTGTATGTGAGGACTCTGACCCAGTCTCCCTGCCAGGAAGCAGAGTATTCAACGTTGTAGCTCTTCCTTTATTCCCTCCTGAGTTCTCTGCAGTCGCTGATGTTTGAACTCTAATCATGCATCCATCCTTGTTCTCCTGCTGATGCCAGGCTGGGTCCTGAGGGTGGTCCCAGGTCCTGGAGGACAAGCTTAGAGGAGCATCCTCCTCACCCAAACGTTTCTTTGAAACCAGAGAAGATTTTGCGTCTCTTTCTTCTGGCTCTGTAAATCTGTTTGCTAAAGCCCACAACAATCTATTTTTCTTTTTATCTAACTGATATAAACCTACAACTTCCTCTTCTAGGTCCGACTAGTTTATGTTAGCTTCTTCTGAAGCTGAAGAAACTTCATCTTTATCTTCACCCAGCTCCTTGTTGACACTTGACCTGCAATGATCTTACCAAGGAACTCAGTTGTAGAAAGGAACACAAACTCTTATTTTGAAGCTCAAGTCGGAAGTGACGTTAGTTCACGCTAACTAGTTAGCGGGATTCTTCTGCCTTCCTAGCGCAAACAAGCACCGACTTGCAGTTCGGAAGAAGTTGTCCAGCGAGCTCTACTTGATTAGGAACCCGAGCACTTTCTGGCGGGTTTCTTCCGAGACGAAGATAAAAACATTTGTTTAGTTAATTTCCGTTTCCTGCGATTGGAAAGGTCTAAAAGAAGCTAGCTAAGTAGCTACCTGTTAGCTTGAGACGTTGTTACTGAAACAACAGTTTTGCGGTGTAATTTACAGCCTGTGTATGTTTTCACCACCGAGAAGAGATGTTGAGCGGAACTATCATGAACGGTAACGAAGCCAATAATAATAACAATCATGGTAACGTGGAGAACAACAGTCTGGGCAGCAAAGCGAAGCAGGCGCTGCTGAAGAAAGGTGGGAGGAAGCCGTTGCTGCATCACCAGAAAGCCCCGAGATGCCCGAACGTACGCCTGTCTGACCTCCACAACAACAAGCTGACGGGTTCGGCGGTCCACAGAACCGCGGCTCCGTCCGGAACCGGTAATCAGACGGTCCTGAGCCTCCATCATGTCAAACACGGAACCAAGAAGGAGGCAAGTCTTAATGAAGGCGAGAGTTAATGTAGTTAGTCTCAGCGATGATCAGAGTAGCTCAGACAAACTTTTATTATTCTGTTAAAATCGTCAAACTATGAACGTTCCGCGTGTTTAAACCCTGAAACCTCATATTGTTGGTCGTTTCTAACGTATTTAACTTTGTGGACTTTTACTAAAGTGATTAAAAGCTCAATAATTGTATTTTTATTTAAATCAAATTCGTGTCGAAACTGTAAACTGTGGAAAGCAGTGACGCAGTTACAGCTTCCTGGTTTCAGATCAGAGCTGAAGACAAAAGTTAGAAGCTTTATTTTAGATTAAGTTTATTAATCAGTACTATTATTATCATGTTTTGAAATCTCTTTCATACAAAATTGTTTGTTTGTGAAGCGCCTCGTTTTTTTTATCTTCAGAGGCTCTTTTATAAAATATCGTTTTCTTTCTTTTTTACTTGTCTAAATAAAGTAAATCACAAATAATGAAAAGTATAAAATGTTCTTTAAAAGCATTTTAGTTCTTATAAACAAAAACTGTTGATTCACTAGAAGTAAAACAAATATATCTGCAGGTTTTATGATCATGACTCAGAAGATCTGAACAGGAATACCAAACTAAAAGGCCAGCTCTTTATGATCAGGCTTGTTTATTTGGATCCAATATTTATAGGTTATCAGTATCAGTATTGTCCTTAATGCTTAAAATAGTGATGCACCGATGTGAAATCTTTGGGCCGATACCGATATCACTTTTATGGCCGATGACTAGGGCTGAACGATCTATCGTTTTTGGACTGAAATTGCGATTTCAAACGGCACGATCATGTGACCATCAAAGCTGCAGTTTTGACCTATCCAGGATCAGTTATGTAACTTTTTTTGTACATCTGGGGTCCCCCCCCCCCCACCTCCCGTGTTATGGTGACAGCAAAAGCCAGCGCCGGGGGAGGGGGATGGGTTGTACCATCCAGAGCTGAGCCCAACTCCACCGCTGTCAAGCTGCTTGTTCAGGTTGATTTCCCTGTTTTATGTTCCCACACACAGCGCTGCTAGAGCCGATAATAATGGCACCGTAGGTGAGCCCCGGACAGAGAGCGAGCGTAGTTGAGTAAGGAAGAGAGACTGCTCCCACATCAGCAGGTTCAGGTTATTTTCTAAAGCGTGGTTTACGCTTCATCTGCGAGAGTGAGGAGTTACACACTTTAGTTGACTTGAAAGCTCAGCTTCTCTTTTAAAAACGGTTTGAATGTTTCTGACGGCACACGTTAGTTCAAACCATCGACATATAAATATTGGACAATGGGTTTCCATAGACTCCAATAACACATTTTTGAAGATAAATGGGAGGTGGCCACCACCGCCATTTTTCAAGCCCAGACAATTCCACAAAAGGGAAGAGAGGTGGGGCTGAGGGTGGGGCTTTAAGGCTGGGATCAACTAACGACACCCGGTCGAACTAGCTACAAGCTAACCCAAAGCTAACACGGAGGTGGGAGCTAAGCTAACGGAGGTAGCAACCTAGCTACAACCGGAGTTAACTGTGCACAACACCAGAGCTTCTGAGTCAGAGATACGCCGGGCTGATCGCTGGGTAAAACCGGGTGGAACACAGAGGCCTCCCGAAAGCTGCTGAAAGCCGGCAGCCGTACAGCAGACAAGCGCCACTGCGATCTGAGATGCGCAGAGCTGCCGCTGGGGAGAACCGGGTGGAAAGGTTTCCATCCCAGAGCTCCACAAGCCGACAGCCCGTGCAGCAGACAGAAGCCGCGATCAGACAGAGAGGCGCCGAGCTGCGGGGAGGGGAGAACCGGATGGAAAACAGAGGTCTCCCGAGAACTCCACAAGCCGATAGTCGGAACACAGAACCACCAACATGTTATATTTCAACCCATTTTCTAAAGTGCAGCATTATGTTAAATGCACTGGGTTTTACCCTATTACATTTAAATTTCATGGTTAAACAGTACATGTTTAAATCTAAGCTCAGCTCGGCAGTGACCTAAAATACATAAATATAATGAGTGAGAAAAAAATTCACCCCCCTCAGAGTTGTCATGAGTGTAAACTAGATAATTTAAACAAAAAACATGTTTTGGTACCAGGCTGTAAACATGTTTATTTCTGCTGTGAAATTGGTATTTTTAACATGGGAGTCAATGAGGATTTGCTCGCTTCTGACACCAGCCCCTAGTGGATGAGGGTGGAACTGCAATTTTTGTGACTTCCGCGTTGTCCTCAATTTTTCACCCGCATTGTGGGGGCTTGTTGGAATGCGTGCGTCTCTCACGGAGCTGACGTTTTAGTCGGGAAAAACTATCAGCCGGCTTCAGCCTGCCACCGTAATGCAGGAAAACTGCACATTTAGTTATTTAATACATTTAGAAGCTGTTTCTACCTACAGATTTCCTTCATGCATTTTTGGAGTAGAACATGTGTTTATAAAGCTCCTCTCTAGATAAGCATCACAAGTTGTTTCACAAACGCATTAAAAAACGATAATAATGGGAGAAAATATGAATAGCTTTAACTGTTTTTATTGTATGATTAAATAGTAGATATTAATGTGAATGATGTGTTGCACTAGATTATAATCTAGAGCATCTTTAATCTGCAGGATGGCTTGGCAGGCTGGTGTTGGACCTTTGTTTGCAGAAAATCGTGAATTGAACCGAAATCTTCATTTCTGCTAGAAAAACTGCAATTCAGTCTTTTCCTGAAATCGTTCAGCCCTACCGATAACCGATGTTTACCGATACCGATCTGCTGACATTAATGCTAAATCTACAGATTGTGTGTAGAATGAAAACGATTAAAGCTCTATTTAAGTTGTACACACACCACACACATTTACACTTCTGAGATGAGTACCATGTCTGTCACATGACTAAACAAATCCACATTGCCTTCCCCCTCGGGAAGCAAGATAGAAAAACCACTGGTTTTTCATATCGGCCCAGTTTTCTTTATCAGACCGACGCGTTAAAAGATGACTAACGTCGGCCGATATCGATGCGTCCGTAGTTTAAAATGAGAAACACGCTGCTGTGTTTTGCAAACTTTGTAACGTTTATTTTTTACTCTTTTTCATTTAACATCTTTAAATGAATCTTTTTCCTGCGAGATTTAGATCTTTATTCTTCAGGGTCTGGTCTGTTAAACGCTAATTAGTATTTAGCTTTGTGAACCCAAACCAAGGCTGGTGCAGCTGGATAAACATCTGTCTTTGTTTAGGGTCTGAAAGCTAAAGGCGGGAGGTCGGAGCGAGGAGCCGTCCTGCCTGCCCGCCACCTCCCAAGACACGATCAGATCCCCCACAACGAGAACGTCCGAAGCCACAAACCCAAACCGAGCCAAACCCCGACGAAGTGTCCCGCTGCTACGAGGAACGACAATCACACTCCAAAGAAACCGCCGTCTTCCCGCCTACCTCCGCCCCGGGAGCAGAAGAAACCCCTCCATGCTTCAAACAATGTGAAGATCCTAAACAGCCCCCCCGCTGAACCCGAACCCGAGTATTGTAAAGATGGAGAGAAGGTCTATGCTGGGGCCAAGTTCAGCGAGCCCCCCTCGCCCAGCGTGCTACCCAGACCCCCCCGGCACTGGGTGGGAGAGGACGAGCCTCAGCAGAGCAGCAACAGGGAGCTGATGACCATTCACCTCAAGTCTCTGCTGAAGGTCCAGGAATGACCCGCCGTCTGCGGCGGACCTGCGTGACCCGGTTCACGTTCAAACAAGACCAGGATGTAAAGCTGCCATAAAATGTAGGGAGGTGTTTTCACTGTAATGCAGTTTTCCACGGAACGACCTGCTGCCTGCATTAGTGAACATTAGTGACCACCACGTGTTGCTGTGTGTGTCGGGATTGACTCGGATCCGTTTGCGTTGCTGAATAAGAGGAAAAGTCCGATTTCTTTGCCAGCGGCAGCCGTGGCTCCATGTTTACATGATGCAGAGTGACAACAGCCATGTTTGACTTTTTACCGAGTTTCCATTAATGTACTTAATATATTTGTGTATATTGTTATTTTAACTGAGATTCTAGTTTTGTTACTCGGACTTTTGTATGAAACAGAAAACCCTTCCCCTGCAGACTCGAGCACTTTGTCGTCCAGCTCCAGATTCCACGAATCTAAGAGACTTTCCTCGTGGATTTGCACTAAAAACTCCAAAGAGGAGATTCCCGCGTTTGACATTCCAAATCTGGACCAGCCAACTTCCACATCCTGACTGGTCGTGGCCGGGACGCATCGACGCTCCACAGCCAAGATGGAAGCTTTTCCTAACGCGGGTCCAAATAACAGGAAGTGGAATCGGGAGCAGACGAGGCCGCTAACGCCTCCGGGATCTGGGATAGCGTCTCCTGAAGCTGCTGCAGAGAAACCGATGGCCGGTTCTGTTCTGATATAGGGTTCGTCTACACGAGGCTGGGTTCATCCTGTGTTTCCACCCAGCAGATTATTTATTCTTCAGTCACACAATCAGGAGTTATTTACTAAATTTGCCCGTTAATAAACATTTTACTTCGACTAAAAGGTTGTTTTAATGCAGAAGCATGAAAGACTGATGACGTTTAGATCTCTGCAGCTCGGTAGGTCTCGTTTTTCTTTACATTCAGCTTCACGTAGATCCATCCGGAACGGGGACTCCATTTCACAGGAAGGTTCATTTCACTTCCTGTTTCTCCCACGCTCATTAATGTGACTGTTGTTTTTAAACACATCGCCCTGTCACCTAGTGATGCACCGAGAGTTTTCTGCCTCCTGACGACGGGTGCAGGACGCTGCCGGGTCTGGGCTTTGTCTCCTGTCGCTTCAGTCAAGAGGAAAATTGTATTAATGTTGCACGTTTTACATTTTATTGCAGTGTTTCACAATCCTTCACTCCAATAATAAAAAATGCTTCATGTCGACATGTGGAAAATAAATAAAAGTTTAAATTAAGAAAAAAGATTGGTTCCACCGATGAACTGGTGCTTGTCCTCTTTGGTGAGTCGACCTCCAGGTGAAATCTTTCATGTTAGATGGTCTTGTCAGGCCTCAGGAGCTCCCGTCCTTCTGTTTGAGCTGCTTCCTTCCTCTTAACACACCTGATACAGTCACCGAATCACCCTGTTAACCAGCTATTAATCAAACCAGGTGTGTCGATGCAGGAAAACATGGAGGTAGAGGCCCTCTAGAGCCAGAACCATGCTCAAACACACGATTCAGAGGTTAATCACCCTGGTTCTCCAGAGACACCATCCTGCATATTTTAGAGGTTTCTGGCTCTGACACCTGAACTTGACCTCTGGGCTTCTACCTGCTCAGGCGATTCAACCATGTGCAGGAAAAAAACTAAAACAAGCTGGACGGTGGCCCTTCAGGACCAGTGTTGGACTCCACTCGGTAAGAGATCACAAGTCGAGCACAGGTTCGATTTTATGGTTCTCTTTAATCTGGGCTGTTTTATGACATTTTGCACTTTCAGCATTAAAACAGAAAATTATCAGGAAAAAAAACTATTTTAGTCTGAAAGATTTGGTTTCATTAAAGTAAATCTGGTGATAATTATAGTTTTCATTTCTTTTTAGTTTAATTTACAGAAACTGTTGATCGTGTTTTGTCGCCATCTAGTGGTCAGGATGTTGAGCAACACCAGCTGGACTCAGCTGCAGGTGTTTAGTCTAAACAGGTTAAAGGCTAAAGTTTTTTTGAGCTTTATTTTGGTAAATGACTTCCTGCATCTGAACAAATGTCTTTATGGTCGTGGAATTGACGCCCTCTGGTGGCCACATACTGGAACTACACTCAAACTATTTGGAAGAGAACTTTTTAGCTCAACGCAAACTGGGAAAGGATGCTAATCTTTGTTTTTGTCCTATTGGGAATAATTTGATGAGAAGAGAACAGGAAACTGTTGTGAAACAGTTTAGAAAGGGTTGCAGGAGCAGATCCTGTACCAACACCGGATGGACATAACCGAGCCTCCAGGTGATCACTCGTCGTCAGCCATGTTGTTGGTGTGACACTCAGAGCTGTCAGCAACAGGTTCTACCATTAACTCCCATGGCTCAAAATCAGCATTTGTCCGATTAACTGTGATTCTGCGGATAACAAACTCGACAGTGAGTCGGAGGAACCGTCCAGAAGCCGAGGAAGGTCATTTCTTTTGGAAGTTCGGAAGTTGGGGGCGGCAAGATGGCGCTCTGAGCAGCATGTCCGTCTAGGAGCTCTTACTGTTTCCTTCGAAGTTGCAAAGTAAATGGTCTTTTTACTCTCATTCAGTTGGCTAAAACCTTGTCGCTCATGGATTGAAGTCGTCTTATGCATTTATGAGTTTAAAGGATCACGCTTACTGTGTCGAAATGTCGAGTGAAAAGTCTGTGAGTGGGAGCAAACGTGCTGCGCCACCGACTACTCCTAACAAGCCTCAGTTACAGACTAACAAGAAAAATAGGGCAGAGGAGGAAAAAAGCAGAAGATGGGGACTCTACACTGATGAAGATTCTGAATGCGGTAACCAATCTGTCTGACAGATTTGATATGCAAGAAAACAAAATGGAAAGTTTAGTCGCCAAGATGGAGGAACAGCATAGGATGTTAACGGAGCTAAAGAAAGAAGTCTCCGAGAATCAGAATAAAACAAAGTTGCTGGAAAGTCAACTGGTTAAACTACAAGAGGAGTTGCTTGCAACAAAAGAAAAGTGTAAGGAACAAGAGAGATACAAGTGGAGGTGGAATCTGCGACTTAAGGGAATAAGTGAAAAAGACAACGAAGACATAAAAGACACCGTAACTGCTATTCTGACCAAAATCGCCCCGGGAGTCCCGTGGAGCTTCCAGGATATGGTGGACACGGTGCATCGTATCGGGGGAAAAAGATGCTCTCCATACAAGGCAAGTAATTATCCAGTTCGTGAAGAGAGAGTGCAGAGACCTCATCTGGAAGCTTTCCAAGAACTGTGAAGTTTGCAAGAAAAATTATTTAAGATTTGCAGAAGATCTGATTCAGGAAGACGGGGAAGCAAGGAGGCTGCTGTGGCCGAAGGTGAAGGAGAGCATACTTCAGAGGACCGTTTGCATTTATTGAAAACACCCAGATTTTCCCCTGAAGAAGGAGGTGGTGGCTTTCTGAATGAGTTGCAAAGACGTTTAGAGGGACAGTTCTTCTATTATTCACTAAGCTAGTCTTTGGTGAAGCCTTACATCCCTGTTATATCTCATTTAGATGTTTTTTTTGTGTGTGTGTTTAGGTCGTTTTTTGAATTCAAGGTTATCATTTATTTCATTAAACGCAAGAGGACTGAAGGACATTACCAAAAGAAAGGCATTATTTCTATTTTGTAAGGAACAAAAAGCACAAGTTATATTTCTTCAAGAGACTCATTCATGTGAAGACGACAAGCGTTCTGGAAGATGCAATGGGAGGGGGGGGGGGGGGGGGGGGGGGCACTGTTCTTTTTAGTCATGGATCCAGCAGATCTGGAGGTTGGCGATCTGTTTTATCAGCTGTCCGGGTAAGCTTACGGAATATAAAGCAGACCCAAAGGGACATTTGATACAGTTGTGGTCAGAAGTTTACATACAAATGTGATCACTTTTCTCTGTTAACCCATAATAAAGACATTAAAGAACCAAACTTCATGAATGTTTTTTGTGACAAAGAAGTATCTGTTCCAATCACTCTATCAGAGAAAAATCAGAGTTTTAGAAATAACGGGACACTCAGTAGAGCCATTATATTATATTTTTTACAAGTGTATGTAAACTTCTGACCACAACTGTAATTGCGATTTTGAATTTTGATGGTGTTTTTTTCATTGTAATGTATATGGATTTAATTCGGTCAGAGAAAACAAAATATTCTTAAATGAAATTACAAAAATCATTGGAGAATCTAAACTTAAATACCCAACAGATAATACACTGGTTGGGGGGGACTATAACTGCGTACCCGATGAATGGATAGATAGATATCCCACTAAATTCTCTACACATTTTTATAATCAAACATTGAGTAGTTTTTGTGCAAACAACTCTTGTCAGATGCTTGGAGACATATTGACCCGTATATTAGACAATTTTCATGGATACGTACAAATGGTAATAAGTCAAGAATTGATTTATGGCTAGTATCTCAAAATATTTTAGGTCTCATCTCTCGCTGAAATATCGGCAGCCCCTGTTATGGTTCATTGTGTTGTTTCTATAAAATTAATTCCTAAGACAGTAAATATAGGTAGAAACGGGTACTGGAAGTTTAATACGTTATTTTTGAATGATGAGGAATACTGTAAAATGATTAAGAAACTCCTATTGTCTGTCACAGAAAATCCTCATCTTGATTCTGCAGGGAAGAAATGGGAATACTTCGAATACGAAGTCAGAAAATATTCTGTTAATTATGGTAAAGAAAGAGGAAAAAATTAAGAAACAGAAAGACAACTATTGAGGGACTTGAATAAACTTTGCGGAGTTTGTACACTTTCAGATACGAATAGAGAAGAGTTTTTAAAATTACAATCAAAATTAAAGCTGCAAGCAGCGTCGTTCGGCCCTCGCAGCTCCGCGCCGCTCCGGCCTGGCCGGCAGCCCGGGGCAATAGGGCACGTCCACGGAACAGAAACGTCGACCACCCCGACACCAGAAACCGCAAACGATCACCTCGTCCGCACCTCACCCTGACTCAGCATCCCCTCTGAGGACACCATTATATTACACGTCTCACAACTAGGGCATACTCTACCTTTACGACTCTCGTGGATCTGATGACACAGACCAACTGTAATGCTTTTCTGACCACGTTGTTTGAAGTTATTGTAGGTTAAACTTATCTAGGGCCGCTGGAAAGCTTTCAGATCATGACAAATATGGGCATTTCACCATAAAACAATAGACTTCCTGTAGTAGAGGGCGGGACTTAGGGGATGTCAGCTGTCCACATTGGCATTGTCTTCAGATGTGGTCAGTGATCACACAGACAAAGTTTGATATAGATTAGATCATGCACATGGGAGTTATTAAGCCAAGAAATGTAATGGCGAAAGGTCAAAGTTTGAGGGTTAGCCACGCCCACACCTTTCAACTTTTGAAAAATCCGACGGTTGAATTTTTTCCCCTATGTCTTAAGAGGATATAGCAGGAGTTTGAAGGCAATTGGTGAAAAGGACGATGGGGCATAATACTCCAAACAATGTCTGCGAAAACCACTAAATTGAGTACTTGGACCAAAATGGCCGACTTCCTGTACGATTTTGCACTTGGCTCCAAGAGACTTTTTTTCCTGAGACAACACATTAGTGTACCAAATTTCGTAATCCTCAGTCAAAGCATGGCTTGGGGCTATTAGTTTAAAAGGTCCTAGGGGGCGCTATTTAAGGAAATAGGCCACGCCCACAAACTTCAGCTGTCTATTTCTCTTGGGGTCAGACTAGGATCACTCACCAGAAGTTTCGTAGTGATATCACGATAACTGAAGAAATGAGAGGCAAACGTATTTCCATGGCGTGATGGCGATTTTCGCCATGCTCCCAAAGCCCCGCCTTTTTTTGAAACCTGCCAGTACTGGAGACCAAGTGACCTCACGTTGTCTACTGCTATTTGCCAGAGATTCCTGCTGATTGGGTAAAAGGAGTCCAGTAGGGAGCTGTGAAAAAAGAGTGGCGTGGCGACAGGTCAAAGTTTGAGGCTTAGCCACGCCCACACCTTTCAACTTTTGAAAAATCCGACGGTTGAATTTTTTCCCCTACGTCTTAAGAGTATATAGCAGAAGTGTGAAAGCGATTGGTGAAAAAAGCAACGGAGCATCACTCTCCAAACAACGTGTACCAAAACAACTAAATCGCGTACTTGTACCAAAATGGCCGACTTCCTGTGCGACTTTGGACTTGGCTCCAAGAGACTTTTTTGTAGGTCCTGAGACTCCACATTAGTTTACCAAATTTCGTAATCCTCAGTCAAAGCATGGCTAGGGGCTGGCAGTTTTAATGGTCCTAGAGGGCGCTATTTCAGAAAATTGGCCACGCCCACAAATTTTAGCTGTCCATTTCTATTGGGGGTCAGACTAGGATCACTCACAACAAATTTCGAGGTGATATCTCGATAACTTAAGGAATGAGAGGCAAACGTATTTCCATGGCGTGATGGTGATTTTCGCCATGCTCCCAAAGCCCCGCCTTTTTTCAAAACCTGCCAGTACTGGAGACCAAGTAACCTCAAGTTGTCTACTGCTGTTTGCCACAGAATCCTGGTGTTTGGGTAAAAGGAGTCCAGTAGGGAGCTGTGAAAAAAAGAGTGGCGTGGCGACAGTTCAAAGTTTGAGGCTTAGCCACGCCCACACCTTTCAACTTTTGAAAAATCCGACGGTTGAATTTTTTCCCCTATGTCTTAAGAGTATATAGCAGAAGTTTGAAGGAGATTGGTGAAAAGGGCGACGGAGCATCACTCTCCAAACAACGTGTGCGAAAACAACTAAATCGCGCACTTGGACCAAAATGGCCGAC